TCCTGCAGCCAAAAGCCACCCTCAGCCCCTGCTATTCTTGCCATGGGACGTAAAAGATGGGAGTATAAATAGCCTGGTTGTTCTTCCAGCAGCATCTGTCTTTATATCCCTGTCTCCACCCTTAGCAACGAGACATTGCAGCTCCCCTTCAGACTTGCAGCACGACTGGAAAATCCCAGGAAAACTGCACAGCAAGGATCTGCCACGCTCCCCGAGCCACGACACGAGCTCTTTGCTCTGCTGCCCCTCCCCAGGCAGTGGGAGCCTCATCCCTCAGTCAGAGCCACTGCTCTTCACACCTGCCAAGCCCAGCAGGTCACCTGTCTCCTGCTGGTCCCCTCCATCACTTCCAAGCTCCACCTTCCATCTCCACCCTGCCCAGTCACCAGCGTTTGCTCAGGAGCCATTTTATCAACCAACAGCCTCCCACCAGCATTTCCCTGCCACAGGTCCAAGGAGAGAGTGCTCTGAAGCAGAGCAGTGCAAACACCTGGATAATTTAGCCAGATGTAGATCCAGCACCTCAGGGCTGGACAACGTGTTTTAGGATGGATTATTTTTTTAGGTGACAGTCACACTGCTCTCTCTCCTCTCCCCTGAGCTCTGGAGAGCTGGCAGCAGAGGGAGCCTGCTCAGCTGCAGGCACAGACAGAGCCTGCTGTGAAAAAGGGATTTACCGTGTCACGCTGCAAGTGAGCCGAGAGGTTTCCTTTCAGAATGAAGCATTTAAAGCTTCTAAAACTTTAATGAAGCGGGGTGGGAAAAAACTCCACCGCTGCCAACGGCTTTAGAAAGCGTCAGGAAAATAAAGGCAGAGGGAAAAATCCCCTTGTTTCTTGCTGACATTTGCAAGGGAGCCTGTGCTGCACAGTTTAATCAGGCCCTCACCTCAAAACCACAGAGCTTTTCTTCTGGAGCTGGGAAGCAGAAATTGTGACCACACAGAGCTTTACCAAACTCAGGGCCCTTCGGTTCCCTTCCTGTCCCTCCCACCTCTTCCACGCTTGGGGTGTTTAACATTTAGTGTTCTGGCTCCATTCCCACTCAAGCCATCACATTTTACCCACCT